AAAATTTCAGTGCATGGATGGAATCAGATAGCTAGGTAGTTCCATTTGTTCTGGGAGATATAGGCACAGTGCACTGGATTTCTGTAGTTAACTGACAAGAAAAAGGAACAGGTTTCATCTAACATGTCTCTGGTGGTAGAGCTACACAAAGATTTTACTAACTTTGAAATAATTTACTTTAATGAAAGCCAGAAAAATGTACCTATATAGTTCATGAGCTATTTATGGTCTTTATTCAGTGGGTACAGTGTAAACACATTTAAGGATAACTATTAAGTTATGCATTCCTATTCATATCAGTTAGTATTCCTGCTGTAGAAACTACAACTAACTAATCTCCAGCTACTTTTGTGAGGTAAGTTAACCATGTGCAGTACTGAATGTTAAATCAAAGGTTTTGTAGCCCAGGTATTTATGCATATGTACACTGTATGCCTCTCTTGATATAAATACATTAAAATAATGAAAACTGATATGAGAAGAAGCTGTGCTTTTCTTGCTAAGAAAATCAGTTTCTTTTTGTCAAAGCATGAAAAAAGAGAAAGTTCCAAGTTCATGTACCACAGTGACATTTCAGAATCAAAGAGAAACTTAAGCTTTGCAAATTCACTGATTTAAAATGTGGGATAAATTACACCTATGAGCTAGATTTATGTACACCTGTTTTAAGACTTCAGAAGTATTTTGAAGATATGTATGGACTCCTTCATCTTCAAATAACAGATTTATCTTTAGTTTGCTTGTTGCTTACTTTCTGCTTCTGTTACAAGCTATAAATAAATAAGCAAAACAAGCTAAGAAATAAATATATTCTATTTTTCCTGAAGAAAATGTTGCTAAAGAGATGTTGTCCTGAATCTAGGCTGTTGGTGTTCCCTGCAAATTTTTCCATTGCTAGGCGTACAAGTTATCAGCAAAGAAGTTGATAAGAGATCTTTTAAAATATTGCTTAACATATTCTGAAATATGACTAATTATAAGCTTTGATAGTGGATTTTTTAACAGGATTTCATATCTATGTTCCGGATCATTAGTTAGCATATTAGAATGATATTAAGAAAATGAGGCATATTATCCTTAAATCACTAACGGATTGAATTTTGAGGGAATAGCTCCCTTTCTTTTAGTGAAGAAATTGTACATGTAATTTTGCCACAACAAAAATCAAAGCTAAACAAAGCTATTAAAAAAAAAAAAAAATCTGGACTGCTTTTAACTCATTTAAATTTCAGAAAATCCTGAAGAGATGCCAAGTGTTCTTCCTTAGGAATTTTCAAGGGGTTGGATTGTCCCAAGTGGGTTTGTGGCACAGGTTCTCCTCTGTCAGCAGATCTCTCAATCTGAACAGCTGCTCCCTTTATTCAATCTGAGTTTGAATTGTGAGTGTTGCAGCAACCTTGCAGTGGTGCTGTCAAGCCCATTTATGAGTAAATCTCTAAAATACAGGGAAAAGACTAAATACACAAATTTCTAAAAAAGAAAAAAAAAAATGTAGCATTATCCTAGAGGGAAGTAAATGTTTGAACTGCAATGTGTTTTTTCTCTATGGCTCCTTGAATGCACAAATCTGTTCTGCTGCTATCAGAAACAAAGGTCCTTTTAACAGAATATCAAATTTTGACTCTCCTGTAGTTTATCAGTAATGTTCAGGAAATTAATTATATCACTTTGCAGAAAAATGCAGTGTATTTCAAAGTCTCATTTACACTATTTATTCTATTGTATCATATAATAAATGGAAATGGACATGTTTATGGTAAACTAAAACCAATAATTACTTCAACATTTAGGAAATAGATGTAATTTCTTTTAAAGAAAAGATAAATTTTCCTTAAGTTTCTTTCCTTTAAGGAAGGAAAGACCCTGTTCTTAGGCTCTTAGCAACGAGTATTACTATTGTCAGTCTGATAAATACTGAACTAAATAATCGTCATACATGAGGTAGAAATTATTAAAGTAACATGAAAAGAAGAACTCTGATTTTTCCAAGGGAGAAGGATAACTTTTTTTTTCACTTCCATTCTATTGAATAACTTTAATATTGATATTTCACTGAGAAGGCTTTTACCTTTTTCTACAAATCAAGAATCTGATATTTAACCTCATTAATGAATAGAGACTATCTGAAATAACCTCAATACTAAACAGAACTAATATTTTCCTTCCAGATTCCTGTAAGATGATGCAAAAATTTGTTTGAATGCAAAAATTATATAATTTATTCTATATTGTTTAGTAGGTGCTTTTCAGTTTTAAATTGTCCTCAATATCTTCATAAAAGTGCTGTCTTTAATTTCCACTAGCAGCTAACCTCCGTTAATAAGGACAGAAAAAAAATAACCAGAAGTGTTATGCTTTCTTTTTCCCTGGCACATTTCAAAAAGTAGATAACACTGTGTAAGACAGAGAAAATACTTTTATGGAAAAAGAAGTATGTTCTGCCAAACAAATCACAGTGGGTACGTTAATCAAATTTAACAAGTAGGTAGAATAAATATGGTGCTATATAATACATATTTTATGAGACCACAGGCCATTACATATTTTTTCGTAAATTTTTAAATGTGTGCAATTTTCCACTCCAATAATTTAAAATGAAAATTGTTTTACTTTCAGAGAAAATTAGTTAAAGCACTGAAAACTGTTGTATGAATAATGAACCTTTGTTTAAGACAAAGAAAATAGAATTTTTAAAAATTAAAACCAAATTTACATAACTTTGCTAAATGCTTGAAGTAAAAAAGTGCATAAGCAATTTAGAAGTACAAATTGTCCTAGGTTGGTTAGGACTTCTTGTAAATTACAGTCATGTTTTAGAAAATGTTCCCTATTGGTTACAAAACATATTTGGGCAGGAGTCCTGAAATACTGTTGTAGATAAGACAAAGCACTTCAGGGCTTTCATTGACCAAACATAGTAGAATTCATCTTTTCAGTGAAAAGCAGGCTGACCTGACTGGTTGGTGTCATCCAATAATGAGAAGGATTTTTATTTATTTCTAACTTCCAATACTCATCCTGTTTGTGATGGGACTATGTATGAAGAAGTGCATTCTATCTGTTTGCAATGAATTCTGTACTAACTTAGGAAGAAGTGGACCAATGGCAATCATTTACTAATGGAAGAAGTTTTTACAGTAAATCTATTCTCATGACATACAGATACTATATTTCAGATTGATTATGGTGTTGAAATACTGCAGGACCCTATCACCTGTGAAATGAGAAATGAAGAGTGAAATTCTTTTTAACTTTTACATTGTGGAGATTTGAATTCAGCTGGCAGCCAGACATCCACAATGTTTGCTGGGTTCATTTAGTCCATAAATTCGGTTTCCATCTGACAGTCTATAAGGCTGAGGAATGAGGTGGAGTTGTCTCTGTCAGTGAAGCAGGAGGCTTTGGATGTGTCACGGGGATGTTGCAAGGCACTAAATGCAATGACAGGGTTATCTGAATATGGTTCATTGGCTATTCTCACCTAAAATCATATCTCCCTGAGGCACACATCAGACCTCTCCATCCTTCTGTATCACCCACCAAGTGCACCCAGGTCCTTGGGCAAAAGTAATCCCACACATGGGTTTACCTTTAACTAATGCAGGAGTAACCCATACAGCCTTCCCCAGCATATTCCTAATGCACACTGCAGGGGCTTTATCCCCATCCATGGTATGTAAGAGGTTTGATTGAGCAGGGCCCACTTGCTTGGCAGATCCTCTGGCATTAACTAACCAGGTGGCTTTTGTTAAATGCACGTCCCAGTGTTCGAAAGTTCCACCACCCATTGCTCTCAGTGTAGTTTTTAGCAACCCGTTGTGCTGCTTCATTTTCCCAGAAGCTGGTGCATTGTAGGGAATGTGATATATCCCCTCAGTGCCATGTTCTTTGGCCCAGGCATCTATGAGGTTGTTTCGGAAATGTGACCCATTATCTGACTCAATTCTTTCTGGCGTGCCATGCCACCATAAGACCTTCTCCTCAAGGCGAGATGATGTTCCGGGCAGTTGCATGGGATACAGCATCAGCTTCCAACCAACCAGTGGCTGCTTCCACCATTGTAAACACATAGTGTTTGCCTTGTTGAGTTTGTGGGAGTGTGATATAATCAATCTGCCAGGGCTCCCCATATTTATACTTTGACCATTGTCCTCCATATCAAATTACTTTTAACCATTTGGCTTGTTTGATCGTAGCTCATGTCTCACATTCATGGATTACCTGTGCAATAACATCCATGGCTAAGTCCACCCCTTGATCACAAGCCCATCTATATGTTGCATCTCTTCCCTGATGGCCTGAGGAGTCATGGGCCCAGCGAGCCAGAAATTGTTCACCCTTAGGTTGCCAGTTCAGATCTACTTGAGCCACCTTGATCTTGGCAGCCTGACCTGCCTGTTAGTTGTTCTGATGTTGTTCAGTGACCTGGCTCTTGGGTACATGAGCGTCTACATGTTGTACTTTCACAAACAGATTCTCTACCCAAGCAACAATATCTTGCCTTAATTCAGCAGCCCAGACAGGTTTGCCTCTGTGCTGCCAGTTGCTCTGTTTCCAGTGCTGTAACCACCCCCACAGCACATTTACCACCATCCATGAATCAGTACAGAGGTAGAGCACTGGCCACTTTTCTCACTCAGCAGTATCCAAGGTCAACTGGATGGCTTTCACCTCTGTGAACTGACTCAATTCACCTTCTCCTTCAGTAGCTTCAGTAACCCGTTGTGTGGGGCTCCACACAGCTGCCTTCCACCTTCGATGTTTCCCCACAATGCGACAGGACCCGTCGGTAAACAGGGCATATCGCTTCTCCTTAGCCGGTAGCTCAGTACGTGGTGGGGCCTCTTCAGCACGTGCTACCTCTTCCTCTGGCGCCATTCCAAAATCTTTGCTTTCTGACCAATTTGTGATCACTTCCAATATTCCTGTATGGCTGGGGCTCCCTATTCGAGCCTGTTGTGTGATTAATGCAACCCATTTACTCCACGTGGCATCAGTTGCATGGTTCAGAAACCCTACTCTAAATATATTTTCAAAAATAAAATTTCAGCACTTGCAGAGATACTGGTAAGAGGTGGGCTTGAACATGTAAAATTAGTTTTGTTCGTTCCATGTGTGAATCAGAATTAAAGTCAGGGCAGACAGAGCTGTTAGCTTATATAGATTTGCTGCAAAAGGAAACAGGCTACTTAACAGATTGTGAAACAACCAAAATATTAGTTAACAAATAGTTCCATGCTACTGGCCCCATTATCCCAGCAACAAGGTAACAAGTTGCTCAGCTGGCTGACGGCTGTACTCTTTTCTTATGTCTCGCAGCTCACTCAGGGATAAGGATTGGGTGACTATCACTGGCTCTGCCTCCTTGTTTTCTCATCATGGGTCTGGTTCATCATCACCCTGTACACTGCGAGGGGATTTGCTTGTGTATTTCTTCTTTTGTATGGGAGCAACTGACACTGGCATGGGTTGGTTCTCCGGTTCAGCTGCAGTGCCTGTCCTCGGGCTTGTAGTGTCTGCAGTCTCTGTTATTTGGTTACTCTTAAATAGTAGCTTAACCATAAACAAAACCTGAACCACATGCAGGAAAACACTAACTCCAAACATCACGGCAAATGTTTTTGTCAACATTCCAAAGATATTTGAACCCCCCAAATTTCTCAAACACAGCTGTAAATAGCCCCAGGACCGATGACCACATGCTGTCATAGATTGGCATCACAGAGTACAACAGAAACAAAACCTTAACCCACCTCTCAGGGAAGGTGAGCAACAGCATGGGAAACACGTATTGCATATGAGGGATAAGATCTTAAGGAGCCATTAATCCACATTTTACCCATTTTTTTGTTATCTCAAACAAAAAGAAAAGCCTCAGTGCCCCACGTTGGGCGCCAAATTCTGTGGCGGTTTGAACTTGGGCGGCAGCAAGATCCCACGTGTCCGGCCATTCACCTCCCCTTCCCCCCTCTGGTAAGATAGGGGAGGGACACAAGAGGAGAATTCCTGGGTTGAGGAAAGAGAAATAATTTACTAAATATAGCAAGAGAACAACAGTAACAATAGTGAGTTCAAAAAGAAAACGCAGCAGTGGCTTACCAAACGTGGCAACCGCCCCCCACAGCAACAACACAGACCGAAAATAAGAGCAGATGATGTGTGAGCATGAGCAAGAGACCCAGCAAAAGCGACCAGCCCACCTGGGCATGACATCACATGGTATGAAATACTTCAGTGAAAATTAACTCTGTCGTGGTCAAAACCAAGGCAAACATGAGAATATTAAACTCCTAGAATGAAGAAGATTTGTCAAAGTTTTCACTCCTTGTAGAAAACGAAAGCTAAATGTTTTTCTTCTTCTCTTGCAAGAGATACTTTATAGGTGTTGGCAACTGTAATATGTCCCCTCTGGAACAAAATGACAAATATTACCAGTTGTTTTGAAGCGTAGGTCGAAAGAGAACTGTAATCTTAACTTTGAAGAAAAGTGATTAAGTTATTTACAGTTATATAGATAAGTAATTCCAGGGAGAATAAAATCATCTTGGCAGAACATTCAGTCTTAAAACATAATGTAGAATAGTGGCTTACAAACTCCATCACTAAAGATGTCTGGAATGTTTTTTAAATGGTCCTGTATGCATTGGAGCTTTAATAGGTTCAGGACTTCTCTAAGGTCTAATATAATGTTGCAGACTACACTCAGACATGAAACCTGTTTTTTCAGACATGTCCTATGTAGTGTGACAGGTCCCACATCAAATCCTATTTCTTCCTTGTGGTTTAAAGTAAGAATAACTTGGAAACTACTGCTTAAGTAATTTATGTTGTTGCTGAGATAGAAAGACATTCTATGTGCAAAGGGTTAGCTATAAAATTAATCTGTGGTAGATTAATAAAGTGACACATGACCCAAGACAGTGGTCAATGCACAGTAGATTGTTGATATGGAGTTGTTTGCTTATATTTTAAAACTAAACATTAATATCAAACTATAGTAAGTGTATCATAGAATAATAAATTTAGTAAAATAGAAAAATAATCAAGAGAAAGTAAGGACTATTTGAAGATAGTGAGCATCTTAAATTTGGGAGTTGATTTTTGTTTATTATTTATGTTTTCATAGTGTTGAAGAGTTCTTGCTATTGAATGGGGCCTTTCATGCCTAACAGTATGGAAGCAGAACTTCAGAGAGTTTACAACCTTGTAAGTGGTGATGTGTGAGTATACAGAGACTCTAGAGTACATGGGAGCAATCAGTATTGGTTAGCTACGTAAATAATCATGTCAGTGTAATAGAGATTAAACAGACTGAGTTTCTGTAGGTGTAACAAAATATTTAAGTAAAGGGAGAATTATTGGTTAGTTACAACAGTATGAGAGAAAGCACAGAGGTGTTTGTTAGAAAATGTAAAATCGTGAAGTAATTCAGTTTCTGGGAGTGTTATGGAGTCATCTAGTCCAACACCTCCTCCTCACTCAAAGTCAATTGGCAACAAAGGGGTTCTAGAAATTAAGGAAATTTTTAAAGAATTTTTGGTACTGGATTAAAAGATGTTGGTTGTGATTACAAAAGGTCCTGAAGGGTCTGTGCCTTCAGAGTGAAGACATTGTTTATGTTCAGTGTAAAATAATATGTAAGATGGTGAAGGGATGTGAAGAAATAGGTACAGGGCCAAGCCAGCGGACTAGAAAATGATCCTTACTAGAAGAGTCTGAAACAATAGGAGAAAATTAATTCAGTGTTTGTCAGTACCAGATAATCGATTGTTGACGTTTTTGAGATACGACATAAAGCCTGGCTGAGAGTGTAGGTTGGGTAGAGAGCAACAGGGAGAGCTGAATGCTGGTGGTACTGCACAGAAAGGTCTCAGTCAAAGGTGGCTGCTGAAAGCATAGCCTGAGGGCTGGCAGAGTGACACCACAAATAGTGTCTGGGAAAGATCTGGAATCATTGAAGGGTTTGCAAGAGCACTGCTTAGTCATATTTGCCTTTGGCTGGTTATAGTAAGATTTCAGTTCAGAACAGACACAAAGATCCTTGAATTTCTGCCATAAAGAGGTGGATAATTTGTAGTGTCTGAACACCTCTGTTTCCCTTACATTCTTTTTCAGGAATATAAATGCTGTTCCATGGTGTTTTAAAATTTGCTAGAAAATCTGAAATTTGTCATTGGTCTTAATCCAGAAGCACTGAACACAACACATGTATGTAAAGATTTTAAGTCAGGCTCAAAAATGAAAATCTGCTGCACTACTTAATGTATGATCTTTCAAAACTTTGCTAATTTTTTGATACTTTGAAAAGTACTAAAACATTTTAAAGTCTTATTTTAGGTAACCATATATGACTCACAGTATCAACAAAGATAAGAAGTTTTTAGTAAGAGGGTGCTATATTTAGATGACCCTAGAATGCAATTGTGATGATGAAAGGAGTTGAAAGAGTTTATCACAACATTTCAACTGAAAATACTTTTTTTCTTTTTTTTTTTTTTTTTTTTTTTTTTTTTAAAAAAAAAAAAAAAAAAGCTTTATTGGGCTACTGAGCTTTAAAATACGTAATTAAATGTTAGTATGTAAAACATTCATGGTAACTGGAATCGGGGCTGTTCCAGAAGGTATTTTAGTAAGCTCTAGTTGTCATTGTTTGTCATTGTTCATTTCATCATTGTTTAGCTAAGTGTCCTTTACATAAGAGTAAAAAATTTTTTGTGTTATTATCACTAGAAAACTGTCTACCTTGTTATTTTTTACATTTACAAAGTTCACTGCCCTGTAGAGCACTTAAATGTATTTGTTTAATGCAAAGAGAAGAGGGCAGCCTGAATAATTAATTATTGAAATTAGTAATTTAGCTAATTACATAATAGAAGGATCTGATGGTCCAGTCATTTGCTTGGGAGAAGTAAATGACATGGATAAAATTCAGTTGGTATAATTTAATAAAATATGAAACTTAAATATGAAAATATACAAAACTATAAGCTGTTTTTCTCAATATCTGACTCTTTTTTGTTCACTCATGAATTTAGTTTCTTTCCTGTGTTTGCAATTTCCTTGGATTTTTGTTTGTTTCATTTTATATCTTTTTACATTGAAGTAATTTATATGCACTGTGCATTCCAGGTGAACAGTGATTTCAGAAATGAAGTTACTTCTCTAGATGAAGTATTTTTGTTGCTGTTGTCCACAGTTGATAACCTAAGTATGCACATTAGCATCTGTCGTGTCGATAATCAATTGATAATTTAAGTATGGACATTAGCATGTGTTCTGTGCAACTACCTACTTAGGTCTCCAACGCATCCACTTGAACTGTACTGAGTTGTGGTAAACCCAGGATATTTTAAAAGTTTGAGAGAGGTATGAAAAATCTGTTCAACAATATTAACTGAAGCAATAGGACAAACAAGTAACAGCCATTAATCTCTCTTAATGTATACTATTGTGCTAAATTATTCTTGTGAAACTTATTCACAAGAGTCTTAATTTTCTGACCATTAGAGACTATTTTATTTCTTACAAGTCATCTGTATATTTCCAGCTCATAATTTAATTTTCTGAAGTTCATATGCTGACTGTTCAGTGGGACAGATGACCAGCTGATGATGCTGGTTAATAGCTTACTTCATAAAATTTTCCTGTTCATGATAGCACCAAGAGGAATTTACTCATTCCACTATTTTCTTTTGGCAGGAACAGATAGAATCTGCATTTTTCTTTCACATTTTCTATGAGGGTATCAAAACATTGTTCAAGTTGTTGTTATATTTCTAAATGACTATAAAAAGCAGTTGAGCATGGTTTTTTTTTTAGGGAAAAATAAATAAAGTATATTGAGCTCAACTCCTAGCTATTTATTTATTCTCCATTATTTTGCCAGCTAATAGCTTGAACATGTAGATATATTTGCAGGTGAATGATGGATCAGGAGGCATCTATTTACAAGGGTGTTAGCATATTTTACACAGGAAGTTTAGGTATTAGGGTTGCAAATGTGTAAAAGATGAAAATATTAAAGCCACTGATGTCTCACCTCGAGCTTTTAGAGAAGAGGGACTATGAAATATTAAAACTGCTAATCTTTTCCTTCTATATATTTCAAGTGACACAACCTCAATTTTTTTTTTTTTTTTTTTTTTTTTTTTTTGTGATTGATGTACAAGTATACTATCGTCATAAAGCCCAAATTTATTAGTTGGAAATCAAATAAAATTCATAAGTTGTTTCCAAGAACTCTTGCCCTACTACAGAATAGAAAATAATTATTTTTGAAGTATTTTGTCTATGCTGGTTTTAAATATTATCATTTTTTTTGTGATACGTGTATTTCTTAGCCTATTTAAGATATCAGATTTCTGTGATACCAAAGTTAGTGTTATTAGATCTCTCTAACTTGTGTTTTTACAGAGAAATATTTAAAAAGTTGTAGAGATCAATGTAACATCTGGCAACTGTTATGCATTTGAAAACACAGAGAGAATATATTTAGTGACCTGCCTATGAAAGCAGCAAAACACCATCTGTAGTGTGCAAAAATATCTGATCTTTTATCCATAGCAACAAGTTGCATCAGACACATGGATTCTTTACAGCCCTCAAAGTGATGAAAGGGGAAGTAATTGAGGAAGGTTTTTTTAAGTTTGGGAATTTTCTGAATTGAGATATGGAGTAATAGTTTTTCTAACTTTTAATAAATATTGTCTTAGTTTGTTATTTTATTTGTTTACATAATAAACAAGCTCCAGTCATGGCAATCTTTTACTTCTATAACGCTTTATATTGTTTTCTATGACTATAATTACTTTATTATATTGGAAAATAAGCAGATACAATGAAGGTCACTCTTGATTGTGATTCTGTTTTTACAGTCCATAGTAACACAAATATAAAAGGAAAGATGCATTATACCTCATGTGCACTGCTCAAAAGTGCCAATAGTTATACATTTTCCACTAATGAGGTATAAATTCTGCAGTCTATAATGGAGAATAACTAACCCACACAATAGAACTTGAGACACTTGAGTTTCGAATGCATCAATGACCAATTTATGGGAAAAAAAATCTGATACTTCAGAGACAAACACATCTTGTTTACAAAGTCTTTGAAGGGAGTTGTTTAGATCTTCTCCAGTGCCTTCTCTCTTGAAAGTACAACACTGAAGGAATGTGTGGTAGATGCTGACTACTGATGAATGAGTAATTGATAGGGTATACTGTAATGTTTTTGCTACTTGAGCTAAAGGAATAACCATATCATTAAGCTTAGAAGGTCTCCATGAAACTCATTCCTCTCCACAGTTAAAAACATTCAAAGCAGAAGGATGCTGTCAGAATCTGTTGGATTCCATTCAGATGGTTTACTTGGATTCCATTCAATTACAGTAAAGCCCAAATAAGCCAGACAATATCTGTGCACATATTTTGAAAAAACACCATTATTTCAGTTTTCAGTCAGAAATTACTTACTGATAGGTATACCCATAAGTCTAACACATGGGTCTATCTGTAAAATAAACCATGAAGCAGGAAAAAACAATGTGTTTTTACTCAAAGATGAAAACTGAAATTCTGGATTTTTTTTTTTTCTAATATTGCCTGCAGTTAAGTTATATGAATATACACTCATAGCTCTGACATGAACACTTCTGAAATTAGAAAGTGGTCAGCCTTAAGAGTTCAAAAGACTGGATAAACTAGTCATGAGATAGGGAAAAATTGTTGCACAGAATGATAGTTTGTCAGTATAATGTTGGGATGGGTTTTATGTAGCTGGAAAGACAAAGAAATAAAAAGCAGCCTGAAGCAGAATACAAGGGGAAAAAAAAAGGAAAAAAAAAAAAAAAAAAAAGAGCTTGAAAGGCAAGTATAAGATATTACATATTTTCTTAGTCTCGATACTGTGCAATAAATTATATCATATTTGCTGCTACAAACTGAAATGAAGGCTGACGAGTTTTCCCACTCTCACTGCATTTCTACGTTGGGACAGCAAATCCATGCTTTGATACCAGTCTCATTCTATTAACAGTGTATATTTCTCCACATTATCTGATCTAACAAAAAATTCACTTTAGCACCCTCTCAACATCTCCAAAGGCATCTTGTTTACAATGGTTGCTCAGTAATGTTTCTTTGAAAAGTGTGTTTAGCTGGAGCAAAAATTATTTGCGACTGGTTAGAATCACTGAATTTTCACACAGTGTGACTGCTATGTAGGTGCTTATAAAAACCATCTCATGCCCAGTGTATTGCCTTTTTTTTTTTTTTTTGTATCTATATCTAAATAGGCTGCATAACATATAGACACTTTGATTTATATCTGATGTCATACATTTCCTTGCTTCAAGTTTTAGACTTTTAAATGAACCTTAGCATCATATGCATCCTTTATCGAGCATGAAAAAGAATTCCTTTTTGAAACTTGAAACACCATTCTCTTATCTTTAGTGCAGATTTCAAAATAATCTTGGTCTTTATTACTGGAAATACTAGCTTACCTGAAATATCATGCTATATGTATGGTGTAATATATATATGGTTTTGATTACATATCTCAGGATATTTTTCTGGTAAAATTAAGGAAATCAATGACTTACAAAATTATTTGCAAATATACATATGCAAATGGTATATACATATATCTTAACTATTGCTCCTTTTTGCAAACCAGTAGTATGGAATTAACATGCAAATTTTCCATCTAGTCAGAGAATCTTTGTGGGGTTTTTAAATTACTGAGTTTGGTATCTGTCAATGGTGTCTCTAAAGCAATACTGCTCTTCAGTAATCATTTCTCATCATATGCAATGAAAGAGGCTATTTCATGGTTATTTTGAAGCAGAGGGAATGAGATCTACCAGTGGAAATGGTCACATCTGGATGGTAAAAATATAAGTGCTCTTTTGTTGTGCAAGTACCAATGACAACTTTCTTTCTGATTTTAGACTTTTCAATAACATCCCATGCCTATGAACTGCCTATATTGCTTTGAGACTGCTAAACACACAAATTATTAGATTTTTTTTTTTAATTATACTTTGGATTTCTATTTCTCATTTTCCTATGATTATTTAAATCCTTCAGTGTTGAAATTAAACAATTACCTATGATACATTATGTTTCCTCTAATACATTAAGCATTCTTACTTTGTCTGCTAGAAATCCAGAATGTCTGCTAGCTGTCTCCTAACAGGCAACAGTCTTGCACAAGCAGCAGATCAAAAAGGGAATGAAAATGTTTTTACTGAGGATCTAATGTCGAATGCTTGACATTACTCGTTGGTGAGGGTGTTCACAGAGTTCTGTCTTACTGAGCTGCCACATGTTACTGCTGGCACTTACTAAAACGTCTCATGAAATGTTATGCTATTTCACTAAGCTGTCTTTTTTCAATCTTTTTCATTATTCTCCATAATATTTGCCATGCTACCTGCATTTACTTATGGATGTGTTAGGTTAGCCCTCTCTCCGATCTGAAAAGAAACTCAGTCCATCTGGGAAAGTCTCTACTCATACTATGCCGAAGGGAATCTCTTGCAGAGCATAATTCTCTTTCTTCTTTTCTGATGATCTGCTTCTTGGTGTTGCGAGTATTCTCACTTGGGATATTTTGTCTCACCTCGAAGTTTTATATAAGAAAGTCTGAGAATCTGAATGCGTTAAGAAATATATTTTCTAGCAATTTCATGTGATATTTTAAATAGGATAGGGAGATGGTGTTTTTTGTATGTCTGTCTCTCTGTGACCCATCTGAAGCTTGTGTATTACAGTCAGGTCTTTACTGAAACAGCTATTGGAATCTTTAGAGCTTGAATTTGCATAAAGATTATTTCCATGATTTAAAACAAAACCAAAAAATTTTAAAAACCTCCCAATAAGAAGGTAGCTACTTCAGTGTACTGGTTTTCACTAGGACAGAGTTATTATTCTTAATAGTAGGGGGTATAGTGCTATGTTTTGGATTTGTGACCAAAACAGTGTTGGTAACCCACCAATATTTTAGCTATTGCTGAGCAGTGCTTACATACCAATTAGGCTGGGGCTGCACAAGAAGCTGGGAGGGGACACAGCTGAGACAGCTGACCCCAACTGGCCACAGGGACATCCCACACCAGATGACACTGTCTTCAGCAATAAAAGCTGTGGGCAAGAATGAGGAAGGGAGGATGTTTAGAGTAATGGCATCTGTCTTCCCAAGTGTGATGAGGCCCGGCTTTTCTGGGGATGGCTAAACATCTGACTGTCAATGGGAAGTGGTGAATGAATTCCTGGTTTTGCTTTGCTTGCATGCAGATTTTGCTTTATCTATAAAACTGCCTTTATTTTACCCCATGAGTTTTCATACTTTTATCCTTCCAATTCTCTCCCTACCCCATGGTGGGGAGTGAGTGAGCAGCTATATGGGGCAAGAGTGCCTGCTGGGGTTGAGCCACAACATCCAGGTTGCACGTTTTCACCAATTACCTTTAGCTGGCTCTGGTGCTTGTCAGAACTCTCCTCCAGTAGATTCAAACTGCTAATGCCACACAAAGCTGCCATCCCTTGTTCTCCTCCACCACCCTGTTTTGTTTGTTTGCAAGGATAGTTTTCTACTGTTTGATATGGGATACCAAGTGTCACAGGTTGTGCAAACAACTAGGAAATGGTGAGGTGTCCTTCATGATCACCCTCACCTGGTGACAATAAACTGCTGGATTAACGCTTGATTAGTCTAGGAAACAGAGAAACGTAGGCAGAAAGATAAGTAATAGCTCATCGGTTTTTATGTTATCCACATTCTTAATTTTCTCTCGTTTTCAGTATCTCTGCTTCAGTCTCAGAAAGGGGAAAAATATTGCCATATATGAAGTTTCTAGGATTGTACCCTGAATCATTTAACCTATCTGTGTGATTGCATGTGTGTATGTAATTCAAGCCTTAAAATATTTTAGCAACAGTGGTGTACCTGTAAGAGAAATGATACTCTAACTGGATTTATTTGAAAAGCAGACTGTGAAAAACTCATATGCTTTGCTATGAATCTTCAATTATGTTCAACGCTGCTTTTAATACAACTAAGGGTTTGTTTTACCTGGGAGAGTATATATTCCTTGGTTGTTCTCAGAGGAAGTTGCCTTTAAAAAAACTATAAACTGCTAGTCACAGAATATATTTCTGATCTTTATTTTAATTTGATTTTTTCAGGGTCAGCCTGTGTGCCCTGATACTGCTTTTTAAAACTCACATTCTCATAGCTATCTCACTCTAATAGCTAGAGACAAAATAATTGGGATTTCTGGGACACAGTGCAGAAACAAAGATGCAGTGTTTACAGAGTTGGAAAATTAAAGAAACCTGACTATCTTCAGTCTTTCATAGGAGACTCCTAAGCTAAAACCACTATCATTTTAGGAGTGCCTGATATGCAAACAGAATAGATCTTAGTCTTTTTCCCAAGTTGTTTTCTTTATGTCTCCAGGAAGATAGATGCTGCATCTGTCAATCTTCCACCTGTATCCTTTTTCTGGCAGTAAGTGTTCTCTCTGTTATAAACAGATGAGCAGAACTCACCTTATCCAGTTCTTTCAGCACATTTAAAAAGAAGCTTCTTTACAACAGTGTGTATAAAATATTTTATAAAAATCAATTATTTTTCTAAATATAAATAAATATCCTTTATTTGCAAGGGGAACTGAGTCCTAACCACATCTCTTGCCTATTCCTAGAAGAGGGTTTTTTTGTAGCCTGAGGAGGACAGAATTTCAGCCAGTTTTCTCCAACAGCCCAGCTCCAATGGAGTGATGCTGAAACAGAAGTGACACAGACAAATGTTCTTCTTTTTTAAATTGTTTGCACTGCTAGATCTGGTGTATATGGCTTTGGATCTATTGTGCATGTTCAGGAATATAGCTATGTCTGTGGGATTTACAGACATTGGCAATTCATCAGATCATTACTTATATGGAATTGCCATTTGCCACCTACTTTGCCTTTAAATGATAAGTCTAAAAGAGAGAAGATAGCTTGTTATGGAAGAGGGTCTGCAGAAAAGTTTGAACTGTTTACCAGTCAAGTGAATATTAGTCTGTTTAAATCTTGAAGTATGCAAAAAGTTATAGCTGGGACTTTTTGCAAACTGTCCCATTCCTCCTAACAGCTGTGACTTTCCACTGACATAAATATATTTATATCTAATGTACGCAGAATAAACAAATATCCATACCAAAGAGTGGACATGAGAACTCAGGCACTTTGTAAATGGATTATAAGAACAATTTAGTGCACTAAACCTACAACATTTTGCAGTGTGAGTGATTCTTTTATTTGATTTCAGTTTTAAGAACTACGGAAAGTAAATACCACAGACAAGTATTTATAATTTTAAGAAAGGTAACATACTTGTAAGTGTTCCTTACATTATGGGAGAGATTCCTATCTGTTAGCCTTTAGAAATGAGCCTTACTGTATTTTCTGGTTTTCACTTTTTGTTTTTCTGTGTTTTACCTCTTGTTTACTGCAAAAACGTATGATCATAAATGAACAATACTGTATTTTCTTCTCACAGATGCAATATCTGAGTGCAAAATGGCTGGCTGTAGCTGGGGTGGATTAACTGAATGGACAGAGAAATTCAGATAATGGTGTTAATAGTAACTGCTTTAGAATTAATTTATTTTAATTTCTCTGGATTGACTAAATTTCAGCCCACAGAAGCTGAGTGTCCGTAAAGCCTTTGGCTCTGAAATGCAGGTTGAAGCAGAAACATTTTTCTGAAGTGGAATCAGCGAGTTAGGATATCCTAGATATTTCTTGTAGTACCACTCAAATTAAACGCAACTCTACATTTGAGTTGACTACTGCAGGGAAAATGCTGTCTTAAAATAAATGAGCTCGTTGGCTTTTGGATTTTTTATTTTTCTTTTTATTATTATTTTTCTGAGTCCTATCCAATTGTGCATGCAAGGGCTGTGAAAATAACAACCAAATGAAGAGGATATTAATAAGAAACAAAATGGAAAAGAAAGTAAAAATATATTCCTAATTACTAAATATCAGCATGTAGAAACAAATGCTAGACTTCCTTATCTGAACATGAGAATTAACTTTCTGTGATAGATACAGATTAAGTTACTGTAACTTTGCAGATGGCAGCCCAAAGACTCTTGTCAACAGAAGTTTAGTCAGTTTTTCCTTCATCTTGAATTACTTTGTCCACTTAGAGTCACTCCAGTGGTGGCCTTTTGTTTTTTTTACTGAAGTGTTTCAAAGTCCTTCTAAAGGTCTAATCTAACTTTAAGCAATAGTAACAGGAGGAAAAAATCCCTGGTCTATAAATATGTTTAAAACAGGATGTCAACTAAATCTTAGCTGACATAGGCATCTACTGCATTTACTCCAGTGTCCACACGTGAATTGTTAAAGTTTTATAACCACATTCATTTACGTATACAGCAGTACATCTTGTTGCTGTGTTTGCCAGAAAACCAAGTGAAACTTACTGTGCATAAAGTAATCTCATAACCTGATGGCATTTCTACTCACTGAACTTACTGAAATATGTACAGGCCTTATATCCTAGTGAAAAGGCTAGGGCTGCTTGCTTGCCCTAGTCCTTTAGTTTAAAATCAAAGTGAAAAAGCAATGTGTTCTGGTTCTTTTCTTATGTTAAAAAAAAAAATAGGTTAAGTCATCTGTGAAGGAGTTACAATATCTCCTTTAACTGCTGCCACTGGCTACATCCAGAGGAGACACTTTACACTGTATTCAGACATGGGTTGGCAAAACTCCCAGCAATTCCTCTTTATGCTGGAACAGTAATGTTTATACAAGCATATTAAATGAAAATCTCACTCAAAAATATATTCTGCAATGTAGTGTTGTTATTAGAGAAAAGCATGTTATATGGTGAAACTCCTTCATTGGTTAAGCTCTCATTGTTTCCAGGGTTGCCATTTTAATACTTACTAGTTTTGTTATAGCTGGAAGAGCTCAAAAGCAAAGGTAAGGAGAAGTAACGATTCACAAAATGCAAATGTAGTCTATACTTTTCAGACTATATATTTTCCTTTTCTCTCACGTACTCTAATGTGTTTTGATACATAGTATCGTCTTTCATATGTGTTCTTCTGTTACATTTGAATGTATTAATTTCTTTTCATAGCTGATAGAAATGTGTAAGAAAAAAAAAAAAATTACAACTGCCTCTTGATGTACAAGAACTTGACACAGGCTCTGAGTTTTTTACTGGTGTTTGAATGGAATTTCCTGCATTTACAGTTCCTGCCATTGTCTCTTGTCCTATCACTGAGTACCACTGAGAAGAGTCTAGATCCATCTTCTTTACTGCCCTCCACCAGATGTTTCTACACATTGAAAGGATTCCCTAGTCCTCTTCTGGAGAACAGCCTCCCACCCATTTTATTGCACTCAAATTTCTCTTTTGCTGAAAGCACATCTTATATGTAAGTCAAGAATTTCTTATTAGTCTAGCTGAAATCTTAACAGTCAAATCAAAACATCACTTTTAGTCTAGTTGCAGTATTGCTAGGACTTACAGTTTTAAGGAAATACAGTTAAAATTAATATACATAAACTGCTGAGTATCTACCTTTTTCTGTTATGCTTTGCTTCCTTCCACTTCCCCCTAAGTTCTGAGGTGGATGGCTTTGG